ATAATTATATATAAAAAAATAATTATATATAAAAAAATAATTATATATAAAAAAATAATTATATATAAAAAAATAATTATATATAAAAAAATAATTATATATAAAAAAATAATTATATATAAAAAAATAATTATATATAAAAAAATAATTATATATAAAAAAATAATTATATATAAAAAAATAATTATATATAAAAAAATAATTATATATAAAAAAATAATTATATATAAAAAAATAATTATATATAAAAAAATAATTATATATAAAAAAATAATTATATATAAAAAAATAATTATATATAAAAAAATAATTATATATAAAAAAATAATTATATATAAAAAAATAATTATATATAAAAAAATAATAATTTTTAATACCCTAACCCTAACCCTAAAAATAAATAGGGCTGGTAATTTTACTAGTGATTAAATAAAGTTATTTACTTTTAAAAATTACTAAATTAAAAAATAAAAAAAAAATATATATAAAAATAACTAGAAATCACCTCAGGTGATTATCACCTGTGATCTACAATGCATAAAAAATAATAATTAATTTCTATTAAAACAAAAAAATTAAACCTCTTTAAGATTAGAGTAAGGGTGAAGATTAGAGGTTAGAGATTAGAGTAGAGTGTTTTATATAGTAAAATTTAGCAAGAAATTTTTTTATTAGAGCTTAAAAGGTAGTTTCATAAACAAAGTTTTGAGATATAAGTGTTTTTTTAAAAAATTCTTTGTTTTTGTTACACAAAATTGATTTACATGTTACACCTGATTCTGAATTTTAATTGGCAAATTAACTACAGGTGATGATCACCTGAGGTGCAAATTAGCAATTTTCTAATTTAATATAGTCTAGTTATTACTCTTACTAAGTAGCAAGTTTAAAGTTTATATTCTAGAAATAAACTAGATTTTTTTGTTTTTTTTAATTAAAGGAAACCTTCTTAGTTAGCAAATTTTATTAAGTTAAGTTCAAACACTATACATTGTAATGAAAGTATATCAAGCTATACATGCACTTTTAGTGCCTAATTTAAGTAGTCTGTCCAAAGGTTCTACACTATTTGCTATACCTGCAACCCAACTATAGGATTACCCATTTAAACTTTCTGGTCTTAACATATTTGATTTGACACTCACCTTTGTGACACCACTACATCATTAGCCAACTTAGAACACTTTAGTATCCTTGAAGATAAGCCCAACAGAGCCATATATTGTATGTCTTATACATGTATTTATCTGCATGTTTTGTAATATCTTTCTAGTTAGTACTTGTTGTACTGTCATCACTAAGTTTATATCTTAAGCTATTCTTTAGAGCACTACCATAACTCAATCCATATCTTAAGCCACAATCTTCAATTGGGTAAAATTCACCACCCAAATTTTTTTCAGATCACGTGAAATTATTTATTCGAAATATGTATGATTCATATATGAAACGCAAAAAAATGCAACTGCATACAATAATATATGTATACATTTTTTTAATAATTATTTTTAAGTTTTTTATACATTATTGCAACCAAAATGTGTTATAATTGCGATCCTTCCATGTTTTTGGAATATGTTTCTGCTTTTTAAATTTATCACAATCTTCTATAAATTTGCATATAGAGTTAAAATTTTTGTTGATACTATCAAGCCATTTGTTTCCATTCGGATTTGTTGTGTTTTTTTCAAGGATTTTTTTTGTTGAATCCAATAATTTGAAAATTTCTTGTTTACGTTTCTGAAACATTTCTTGATTATCAATAATATTGATAATATCTTCGTTTAAATTAGTAAATTCTTGCTCTTGAGTTTCTTGATTATTAATATTAACATTAATAATCTTTAATTTATGAACTTTAAGATTTTCAATCGCATCATAAACATTCTTTGGCAACTGAATAAAAGCGTTTTCTTCTTTAATTTTAAGAAGAGGATATGATTCTTGCTGTATTACCTTAAATTAAATAAATAAATAAATTACTATACAATATGTATAGCAAAGATAATCATAAGCTATAGTATCAATATATATATAAATTTTACTTTCTTAAAAAACCCAAATTCTATAGGATTATGTAAATGCACCAAGTGCTTACAAACAAAAAATCGATTTAAAAGAAAATTTGAACATGAACAAATTCAACGTTCAGTATCTGTAAAATGATCAGGATTATTAGTAATCAATTTATTAGATAATTTTTTTCACTCAACCTGAAATTCTTCACACCAGTTTGTAATACACCGTCCATCACGTAACAATTGCAATCGATTAGCTTGACTTTAGAAACAATTATATGAATAATTAGATCTATTTGTGCATTATTAAAATTTGAAAAAAATTATGTTTTAAAACTCGCCAATGACCTTCGATAGCCATAGTGCTTCGCAATATATTTATCTTTGAACTTGATACATGTGCCCAAAGATTCCACATCTCAGGACAATACCAGTTAATCCAAAAGTAAGCCCATACATAAACAAGGTGATGTTGATAGCAATAATCAAACAATTCTTTAATACTGGTTTTTCAAATTTCTTCTGCATTTAAAAATTTTAAATTTTCTTCAGGAATCATTGGATGTTTTGAAAAGTGAATTCGAATCATTTGAAGTATATCTTCATGAAAATTTTTTTGACAAAAAACTTTATTTTTGTCATGCAATTCTTGAGTTGTACGGATGAGTTGCCAACTTGGATTAATAAATGAACAATAGGTATGTGCTTCGTATGCATTATAATTATTATATGTTATTCCAGTACTTGAGAGATTTTTTTTAATAGCTCGTAGCATATGCTAGTAACATAATTGGAATTTTGCATTATCCCAAGTTCTTTTTATAGCCGTAATTTGGCTAAGGTCTTTATCAGTTAAAAATGTTTGAACATTTTGTATTCCATTTTCTTTTAAATAATGAAACCATTTTATTAATGATTCTGTTTTTCCTTTTGGATGCTTTGGATCTAAAAAGAAGTATGACAATGGAAATCCAGAGCCATCAAGAATTCCCAAAACTCCATATAAATTGAATTTTAGTCGATTTGTTCCATATGTTGTATCTATGACAATTGTATTTGTAACATGATTTGGTAGTATAAATATTAGAGGTGTTAAAAAAGCTAATGAATATTCATCTTGAAAAAGAAGTTTAAAATTTAAATTTTTTTCTAAATATCATTTGGCTGATTCAAGTTGGTTATCCATTAGTTTATATTCATTTCCAGCAATTTTCTTGAACCAGTAGTAGATTTGATATCGAGTAAGATGTAAATATCCATTAATTTTTTGCTCTTTAATATTTTCATAGAGCTGCAGAACTGTTAATAAATAATTCTTTACAATATAGTCACGTATTTGTGGTATAAAATCTGTTACTTTAGGTGGTAAATAGAGGTAATGATAAATATTAATTGCAATTAAATTATTTTTTTGATCAATGTTTATCCGAATTGTATCTTCACAATCATAACGATGAATTCGAGAAGTTGTATCATGTTGCTTTGAAACATTATCAATACGTGGTCTTTTATTTTTTAGCTTTTCACAGCTGTTACAATAATACACAAATAATATTGCATTCTTTAAAGGTTTATATTTGTGATAAATCCAAGAGAAACGATCAGCTTTAGAAATACGGTTGATTAAAATTTGAGCAATCTCTTTATCTTGTTTCTCTAAATCCATGTCAGTTAAATTTACTAACGGCTCCAAAGTTACAAAAAACCTTTTTTCAAATAAATAATCATCTGAATCATAATTAGTTGAAAGTATTTCAAAAATATAATCGACGAGTATTTCTGGTACTATCATACTTTCTTGATTTTTTATTATATCAGTTTGCTTTTTTTTATCATTTTTTGTTTTAATCTTTGAAGAAATTTCAGTTCGGTATTCAAGACAAGTTTTTAGTTTTCTAGAACTTTTTTTGCTTTGAAAAGCTTCGTCTGGCTTGTTTAGATAACAATGATCGCATTCTTTCATTGTGCTTACAAATCCGATATCAAAATAAAATATGTAAAACTATATATGTTTAATGTATATATACTTACTGGTACGTAATAAATTAAATTAGCATCTCTGCTTCGCTTCATTTTGGATGATCATTTCATGTGATCTAAAAAAAATTTAGATGGTGAATTTTACCCAATTAATATATAGTATATAGTATACAAATCTATATCGATCTCAGGATCTAGTAATTGGATTTTGATAATTTTAGGCTTGTTAGAATCAGGTCATTGAGAGGATCATTTTGGTAGTTAAATCATCCAAATTGGTTTAGTATATCAAAAGTTATTTAATATTCAATTTATATATAAATTTATATATAAATTTATAATATAATTTTGGTCAGAATTTGATAATTCCGGCCAGAATTACACCTGACACTTTGGCTGACCCACCCACCCACCAAAAAATCAGCTGATTTCTGTCAGCTCCCTTATAGTAAAGCCAAAGAAACTTTTACTTGTTCTTTTTCTATTAACTTACCCTTATATAAAGTTAATTTTTTAGTTTTTAACATAAAATTTTAAAAATAACTTAGTAATTAGACTTTTAATTTTATTTTTAAAAAATTTTATATACAAAAAACATATAAAATTTTTTATAAAAATAAATATAGTTAATAGGTAATTCTAAAAAAAAATTTTTGAACCAGATGACTAAAGAATTATCTATTAAAATTTTTTATAAAACTAAATATAGTTAAAATTTTTTTTCAAAATTTTGCTAAATTTAATATAGCTAAGTTATATATATTAAAAAATTAATTTTATATTGTTTTTTTTTTTAAACAATCTTGCCTTTATTTATTTGATAGAACTGCTAAATAATACTGTAATATATCAAAATAAACTAATATTCATGACTAATAATACTTACTAAATCTAAACTCAATACGATCAGCTATAACAACTATTGGTCACTCTTAGGATTCAAAACTTTTTTTGAATTTTGCAATGACAAGGCTACCTATCAAGAGTTGTGGCAAGTTGTTATATACTATATTAAAATCTTTTCTTTCTTTTTTAATTTTTTCTTTTTCTTAAAAAGTACAAGATAAAAAGAAGAAAATTTAAAAAGTAAACAAAGTGAAAACAACTAACAAAAACCTAAATAAATACTAAAAAGAATAAAAAAAAAACATATTTCAAAAAAGAAAAAACAAAAGAGAAAAAAATTCTAACAAAATAATATAGCTATATCATAGCTGAAAAATTATATAATCCTCTTAAATTTAGTTTTATTTTATGTTTAGTCTGTATTACAATATGTAAATGTCTTTGGAGTAAAGTTAGTCTTGCAAGAATTATTATAAAAGTTCTCCAAATAGTTAATATCAGTTCTTGTTTTACACAACACAGTTTGATTTCTTTATTACTGTCCAAATTCATATCTCAAGCCAGGTGCTGCCACTATTCAAAAACTCATATTTTAAGCTACCTGCTTCCGTAATTAGAGTTTCTAAACTACCAAATTTGTGATTCCTCGTGACTTCTGTTTTCAATTCAGAATTGGTAAACAATACAGGTCTTTTGGAGGGGGTACGCTGATTTTCTCACTTTTTGTTTAGCAAAGATTTTTTAAAAAAATCCAAATCAAGCAAGAATATAAAGAAAAGGTTTTCAGTTGTAGGTTCTTCAAAATTTTCAAAAAAGAGTGTTGAAAAAACTTGTTTTGTTGTTTCTCACTATTTTGCTATAGGTAACTTTGTTAATAGAGAAACTTTGTTACTTCACCAAAATTTCATATACAAGGGTGTTAACTTTTGCAAGTTATTTTGTATAACAATGCTTTTAGCTTATATGTTGAATATAAGAAGAAGTTTTCAAAGTAATAGATTAATTTCTACAAAAACCATACTCTATATTGTCCTACTGCACTTTAGGTGCAGGCAATGCTTTAACAAAACTGTTTTTCTTTGGTAGAAAAATTGGTCTAAGTAATTGTTGGGAAGAGTTGATTTTATTTTTTTAAATTTTATATTGTTTTATACTACAGTATATACAGTATTTTTTAATATTTTTTTAAAAAATTAATAATACTTTTAAGGCAATTACTATTTGAATATGAGGTGTATTAACACTTGGTTATACTGTTACAATACTATAGCCTTTGATCAACAATATAGCAGAGTAACAAGATTACTCACTATAGAGAAACCTATGTTAGGAATATATAGAGAGTGGAGTAAAGTATTCACTATACTTTATAGCAGTAGGCAAACAGTTCAGAATAGTAACGGTATATTATATAGAATGTAGACAATAGAAATAGCCTATTTTTACATATATCTAATTTTGAGATAATTGAGTTTTAATTATTTGTTTTGATTTTCGGACTGATCTGGGATTAATCAAATTTCACGATTTTGATTAGTTAAAAGTAGCAGATGACTATCGGATAATCTTGTAATATGTTGGCTTTATAAAGCTTCATATAATTTTCCTTTTATATTATCTTGATTTTTTATTATGCAAATTGACTTTTGTTTATAATTGAAAAATATCAATCATGTAAAATTTATATAAATATAATAAAAACTTATTTTTCAAAAAAATGTAAAAATAGGCTGTTCTATTGCCTGCACTCATATAACTTTATTTAAACACAGATATCACAGTGATAACCTTGCCTGTAGGATTTACCCTAGAGGGGGAATATCACACTATACAAATATAAAAAAAGTAGAATAAGATAAGGCTAGATTCTATGAGAGGGTAGGGAACTCTAACTTGAGCAGAAGGAGCAAAGGCTCCCTTTTTATAACTTTTCTATACATAGGAGATGTAACAGAATATCTGCCAAACTGTGTAAAGGTAGACAGAGATACTTGTGTAAAAGGTACTAAAAGATACTTGTGTGAAGGTACTGAGAGGTACTTTGTATGCAGATACTGAGAGGTACTTGTATGCAAGTATTGAGAGATACTGAGAGGTACTAAAAGGTACTCGTATACAGGTACTAAGAGGTACTAAAAGGTACTAAAAGGTACTCATGTACAGGTACTGAAAGGTACTTGTGTATCTAGCTATAATGTTACTGTGCCTCATTTTCTAGCCAATAAATCTATATAACTAATATAATAATATACAAGATAATATGATAACTATATAATAAAATATAACCAATATAATAATAATAATAATACAATAAATGAAATATATTTGGAATCGGTAAACAATGCAGATCTTTTGGAGAGGGTACGCCAAAAGTGGGAAAATCGATGTATCCTCTTCAAAAGATCTGCATTGTTTACCGATTCCAAATTGAAAACAGGAGTCACGAGGAATCATGGATTCGGCAGCCCAGAAACTCTAATTACAGCAGCAGGTGGCTTGAGATACGGGTCCTCAGACGGTGGCAGCACCTGGCTTGAGATATGAATTAGGATGGGCGATTAACAAATCAAACTGTGTCGTGTGGAACAAGAACTAATGTTAACCATTTGGAGATTTTTTATAATAATTCTTGCAGGGCTAACTTTACCCTGAAGATATTTATATATAATATAGACTAAATTTAGAGTAGAGCTAAATTTAAAAGTATTATATAATTTTTCAGCTGTGATATGGCTATATCATTTTGTTAAGGTTTTTTTCTTCTCTTTTGTTTTTTCTTTTTTAAAATATGTTTTTTTTTTCCTTTTTGGTGTTTTTTTGGGTTTTTTGTTAGTTGCTTT